TTTGTCTTAAAATTTAGATTTTACACTTTGAATACAGAGATGATATATATATATAGGATATATATATATATATATAAGTCATAAAAAAAAACAATCGTTCAAAAGCTATAATCTATACTAATATATAAAGCAGAAGAGTCTGTTGCTATGTTTGTTTGTTCTTAGAGGGTTTCCAATCAGGACGCAGACGATTCAAGATACCCATCTGATATTTATGAAAGAATGGTTCCTCTCTAAAGATAAAAATGTCGGTGACACTATATTTCACTATCTTATAACATTAACTTGCAAGAACGAGGGAACGCAGACGACGTCGTGGCTAACAGCTATAATTTATAAAGATAATTAGGAAGTTTGCAACAAAGGATGCCCTAAATAACTTTTCTATGCGGACGAAGTCGCTGACACATCTAGTGATTTTATATATTGTAAAAAAAAGACAAAAATTCCTAAGCCAAGAAAAAATTACCTAGAATGTAACAATATTTATATGTAAAAATAATACTGCACAGACGACACCTGAATATTAAATAAAGTAAGGGGTGATTCCTTGCATTATTCATTGTCAAATATAAATATGTAAGCGGTAAGTAGAAATATAAATAAGAAACTTAAATATTATATGATATTATACCTGGACTGGTATGCAGCACTCTATAACTCAACTTTGATATAGTAATACTTTTAAATAAAACACTTTAACGGTTTAAAACGCGATATATGTTATTTAAACGTATTTGAACATTATCTTAACTACGGGGAGACCGTGAAAGTTCCTGCTGCAACATATTTAAGATAATTTTCAAATAAGTTTAAATAAGTGACTGACTAGATGTGTACTACTCGCATAAACTACAAACATTATATAATAACACTTGTTCAAAACAAAAAATTGCGTTTTCACTATTTTGTTTGTAAATTAACATCTATACAAATATTCTAGGTGCCTAAGACTCGTAACAAAAACAACTTTAGTTTTTATCTCGTTACGTTGTCCCTCGTAATGTAACTATTAGTATAATAATATTAATTATTTATTAACATATAAGGAAATATATATAATTAGTTGCGTGACACGAGAAAACAAAGACATGACAGTTTTTAATTAAATTCTAAGCATATCCTTATCAACAGTTAATAAACCAGTCTGGGTGTATTGATACGTCAGTAAAAACATGTATCTGTATCAACTTAATTTTTTTTAACCACATAATAATATTCCTTTCAGCGCCATAATATTACATCCGGTTACTGCCATAGTTATATAAGAGCTTTTTCTACAAACACATACTTAACATCTAATCTATACTAATATCTTCTGCGATAGCTGACGACTTTGTTTGTTTGAACGCGCTAATCTAAGGACCTACTGGTTCGAATTGAAAAATTATTGGTGTGTTGGTTAGAGCATTTATCGATGAAGACTATTGGCTATAAAACATTGCCCTATGACTAATACAAGCGTAGATACAGCTGGAAATGTGAAAAAAAATGGGGAAATTATTCATCATTATGGGTTCCCGAGAGACTCGCGGACGAAGTCGCTGACACAGGTAGTATTATATATTTACCTCCTGTGCAACTCTATAAATTTAGGGTCTTACCCACAATTTCATCCGCAAGTTCTTTTTAAAAGATAGATATATATATATAAAAGCGTTCAGACTTTTTTTAGATTATTTAAAGAGTCTTTTTTTTACACTATTTTTTGGGTATCTTGAACCGTTTTAGCAGCGTACGCATCGGAGACCCACAATCATAAATAATTTTCCACTGTTTTTTCACGTTCCCCGTTGTTTCTTCGCTTGTGTTAGTCACAACGCGATGTTTTATAGTATAGTTGTGGGATTATAAAAAAAAAAAAAAAAAAAAAAAAAAAAAAAAAAATATATTTTTAAAAAAATAGCCTATAGCCGTCCTCGATAAATGTTCTACCCAATACAAAAATAAATTTTCAATTTGAACCATAGTTCCTGTGATGAGCGCTATAAACAAACAAACAAACTCTTCAGCTTTATATATAGATTTAGGCGTTTGATTATTATAAAAGTTGACTCAAGCGTAGTAAAACTATTCAATGGAAAAATATTTGTTTTATCTCTTCTACTATGACTTCGTACATTCGCACTGTATGTGATCTAATTGCATAATATTAGAAGAATTGCGTCAATAAACAGGAAGAGGAAGAATGATATCAGCTATGATAAAAATTATGTATTTATGGACATGTAATTTCCGTTGCAGATTATAAAAAGGACTAAAGCCACGATGTAATTAAAAAGAAAAATATAATTATTTTTAATAATTAGATTTCGTTTTAGTACAGATAATTTTAATAAAGTCTTAGTAGATAATTTTTAAAACGTAAATATTTATAAAATACTAAAAAATAGTGTAGTAATAAATACTAGCTCCTTATAATGTTCTAACGATAAAGTCTCTTTAACAATATAAACTATATTTAAATAGAAACACTCTAATGGTTTTAAACTTGATATATTAGTTAAAATCAAAATGATTTTTAACCTTCGGCCCGACGTTTCAACTAAGTCTAATAAGTTTTATTTAACTGTGTACTACTTGCGTAAACTACAGACAATATTTAACCCATACTTACAATTTGATTGGTGTTACTCGAACATTGATATTCATTCTCTATAACGGTGAGCATCCAAAGTATTTAAAAAATTTTGGTATCATAAATATCGTTATAAAGAGTTCGCAATGTACTTATGAGGAAATACGAAGGATTAAAATCGAACCTCAACAAAATTAAAACCAGTAGCTCAACGTAAATGAAAGTTGACTTAACCCACGTTACGCTTGTCAAAAATTAGTCACACATTTTATTTAAATACAACGCCACCTACATTCAAGAACAGCGCAACAGTAAACAATTCAAAAAACTGTGACCTGTTGGTATGCAATTGTATTGTTTAACTTATGTAACGATTACATTGACTCCATTTCTTACATCTCTTTCTTCCTCGCAACAATACAATGCACGTATTGAGATTCACACGTTTTGCTGAAGATATCGTGTGTCAAGACAAGATAATCTTTATTTACGATGAGTTAACTTCATCGCAAAATTACATTGATAAGGGCGCATAAGGAACGTTAAAAAATTTAGTAAATAAGGCCTTTTTTAAGATAAGACAAGCTCGGGGTTTACTTGATGGAAGGTGAAATATCTCAGCTATCTTAACAAGATAGGCTGACGACTATTTTATTTCGGCTTTGGTTAATCATAATTTCACAGACTGAAACCGGAACAGAAATACCGTTGACGGCTTTTTGATCTGACGGTGGTTCGTGACCCGGACGGAATGTCGATATTCCTACCGCCCTTTTATATAGATATATGCAGATTTCCAGGCGAAGTCCAACATGCTTCGGATTTTTTTTTAATTGATTTTAAACATGTTGGACTCGGCGGGGATTAAATTATTAGCCATAGATTGCTCCCATAACACCAATGAGCCAGTACTCATGATTTATATTTTTTTCAAGATACAAGAACTGCTGATCACTAAATTAACGTACTCTTTGCAATATCTGTAGTTTATGAGAGAAGTACACGTTCAAATTAAATACTTTTAACGGTTTAAAACAGAATTTATTATTTAAATAAAACACTTTAACGGTTTAAAACGCGATATATTAGTTAAACTTATTTGAAAATGATTTTTAACTTCGGCCCGACGTTTCAACTAAGTCAAATAGGTTTTCTAATATATCGCGTTTTAAACCGTTAGTGTTTTATTTAAATGTGTACTACTCGCGTAAACTATAGACAGTACAGAATTTTTTATTTATAACCTACCTTACTCTATCGCTTTAATCGAACGATATTAACTTATTGCTAATACATTTTAAGAATTTATGTCTCCCAGTGACACATAATATGTCTTTTGATTCTGGCAAAACTCATAAGCCTTCTCTTCTGCTCACGAAATTCTGTCGTGATTTCAATATTCTTTGATATTATCGCGTCGAACGTGCGAGGACATCACGAGTCATCGCCAAAATGTTTGCAAAATTAGGGGGAAATCTTATTTATCAACCTTTACCTCATAGAATAGGACATCTCTCTTTATATTAAGTAGTTAGGTCAGTAAGTCCTCCGTATCGTACTCACTTATTATCGCAATGGGATGATAAGTACGTATGCAAATTATAAATTTAAAACGGCCAGTGGGAATCGACCCACAAACCGTTGATTAGTTGTTATACATTGCTACCATTACACCAATAATACTAATATGTATTCTATATAGTCAAAAATCCCGGTTTATCAATTGAAATGTTTTTATAAAGATAAATTATCATAATCAAAAAAGAAAGTTAATTTAACGTCAATTGTCAATTTACATTTGTTTCAACAAAAAATTTACTTAAAATTTATCACATCCAAAATTATTATAAAAATCACCGAGTTCTATCTCCAAGATATACATCCTTATCTATAGATAAAGATGTGCTTTATAATACAGTTTATTTACACAAGGACACGAATAAAAGGCAGCAACACATTCGGTCTTCCCTCGTTTCGGTCCCAAAAGCGACTTCGGCATTCAATGATCACGACTCGAGCCTTTCAATTCGAATGCCATTTGTTAAGCGCAAGGATACCGCAAATCGAGGGAAAACCAGCCATAAGCGTTTTGTTCGATATAGAACTGGTTCAGTTGCGACATCTCATTTTGAAGCTATACGTCTAGCCGGTAAAAATATATTGCCTCGCGAAGACAATGGGCACTTAAGCCGTCGATTCTAATCCACCTTCACGTTTTTATTCCACTCGTAATTTTTGCAAATGACATTTTTATTATGGCAATATTTTAAATATCGCACTTTTTGTTGCAGATCGCAAAAACGGTGCGCAGTGGAGTGATTGTGCTTTATTCAGTTAAAATGATAAGTGACAGTCAGTTTTACTGCTCTAAAGTGGTGAAGATTTAAGAAAAGTGGTAGTGTCCGATGCGAAACACTAAGATATGGCTTTAGTAAACTTCACGGTGCCTGGTGCTAATCCGGCGACTCTTCCGGTCGCGGCAACCTCTTCGACTCCGCTGCGAATAGACCTCGATGACTTACTTTATTCCCCAGAAGAACATCAAGCCGATTATGCCTCGCAGTACACGGGAAATGAACCGTTTTCACCACCCTCAAACCAGCCGAAACGACCGAAAGTTCGGAAGCGTGCGGGGACAGCTTACCTACCGCCACCAAATCAGTTCACCCAATACCCACGTCCCAGCAACGTCCCACTCAACCCTTACAACACCCCACTCCAACCACCGCTATACGATCCCAATTCGAGGCTCGATGTCCAATTACAAAACCAGAGAGCTGAAGAGATAAATATGCAATACGACAATAATGGACAATATGTCCATGACCCAACAGGTGATTATGATTACGAACAAAAGAGGATAGATAAAAGTGGAGCACAACTGCCGAACTATCCAGGATACGCGGACTTACCTTACCAACCGTCAAATACACCCGAACAACCATCTAGTCGAAAATATGATACGAATAATAACTACAATTTCGGCCCCGTGCCGACGTCAGCGCCAACACAACGAAAGCAAAACGAGGCTGGAAAAAGAATAAATAGTAGTGGTAGCAATTTAAACCCTCCGGACACACCGCGAGGCTTCACCAAAGTTGAGACGGGTGGTGGTGGAAATACACAACTGCACGCCGTGTTGGACTATGATGATGATGAATACTACGAAGATGATATGTCAGGTAAATATCTTAATAGCCTATTGCTAGACAATATACTATCACAAATTTAAATGATTGTACCAATATTTTACGTAACATTCTAAATTATTATCTAAATCCATTTAATTGCCAGTACTAAAAATACAGTATGAAACAACTCTAGTTGTAGAACAAGAACAAATTTGTCAGAAAATAGTAATCGAATGGTCTACCAGATAAACAGCAAGGTTTTTGCATCAATTTTAATTACATTAGTTAAACTTATTTACAAACACACTGTTTACTTCACATTAAGGACTCCCTGCATCTCTAGTCTCCCCGTGACCACGGCTGATGCATAGCATCCTAAACGTTGACGGGTCGTAGTTAAAAAATGGTGTCTCCGTTACACAACTTTTTGTTTTATTTCGTAATCATAGAATATTTACATTAAACGAGCTAAGTAATGACAAATCCTTATTAATATGAGATTTCTACCGCCCTAATTAGGGGGATTAAATTCTTCGAACTTTTCGACAAACAACAAGTGTTTTTATTATATAGACAATTATAATGATAAAGTATATTAGTAGACGAAATAATCATTAGCAAATAAAGTAACATAAAAAAGACTATGGCGACGGTGTCCACTAAACAAATTAAAGCCCAACCAACCAGATTGTTATCTTAAAGCAGTACTTGAACACTGTAGTAACACGATCGATCCAATTACTTCCACTATCGGTCAATAATAGGCGTATTTGGCCTTGAGACGCGGTATAAATCATAAGCGATGGCGAAATTGTAAAATTCAATTTAATTAATAACTTGATTTATTTATACAAATACGAGTAATTCAAATCTAGTATCGTTGATATTAGACTTTTAACTTATAACGCAAGCTCCTATTTTTGGTTCATTAAAACCTTGAGTTAGTACCAATTGATCGCGGTAATACAAATGATTCGAAATTCAATATTGATAAACTACTTAATAGGCCGTGTTGACGTATATGAAACTATCTATGCCAGCGACTTCGTCTGCGAATAGTATATATATAATAATCTTTTAAAGAGGAATAATTCTTTGCTGGGCCTCCGTTGAAACCCAGAAAGAGGAATATTTTTTTAGCATTTCCCCCTTTTTCTTCACTCCTAATAGTCTATTATGTTATGTTTTATAGCCTAAGGCTTTACTTGATAAGTGATCCAAAACAAAAACATTCTCAATTCGAACCAGTAGTTATCTTCGTTATCTTCGTTAGTTCGTAGTTAGTTTCGATTAGCGCACAAACAAACTATTCAGCTTTATAATATTATTAAATATTAAAATACTAATTGCAGCTACAGCTTGCTGATTGAATGTTGCTAATTAATTACTAAATACATGCATAACAAGTAGAAATCTACATTTATAGAATGTACTTTACGTAGTTGTATATCAAATTCATAGAAATAAACGACTGCAAAAAGGGTAGCAAAAGGGTAGGGGAATTATAATTGATTGATAAATTCGTATGTATCTGCAAGTAAATAAAAGTATACTTGTGTTGTACGCTTAAGCGAAGTGTACTTTTTTGTAAATAAACGTCTAACATCTGTTTATCTGTAATGACTTTAACCAAACATAATTCGTTATTATTGTAATATAATAAGTAATATTATATATTTATATAGTTATATGGCTGATATACCTTCCATCAAGTCCCCCAAGAATCCCATGCTCGTCCTCTATAGAAAAAGGCGTACGCGTCCATCATTTACAAATACACGTAGTTATATATAATTAGATGTGTACTGTAATTATTGCTCCACAGTTTAATATCATTGTAACTTTAGATTTATTGCAAAGCTCATCTCGAAACGTAACCGTATTCGTAGGATGCAACCTTGGCATCGCTTTCGAAGACATTATCGCATGAGGTCGTAAGAGTCATGTTGAACTGAGATTTTACTAAATCAGTGTATTAATAGATAATCCGTTCTCTAATTATCGCTTTCATATTCGTTTTAAATATTCAAATAGAACACTTTAATGGCTTAAAACGCGATGTATATTTAGTTAAACTTATTTATAATTTATTTTAACTGCGGTCCACGTTTCGGATGTTTTGCCGCATCCTTGGTCGCTAGGGGACAAGTCAAAATACTATAGCTAACTAATACATATCCCGTTTTAAACCGTTAAAAGTGATATTTAAATGGTTTGAAATAAGATTTTATTGTTATTTTGCATGTTTAGAAATAAAGCTTATGACGTTGTAGCCCAATAGATTGTTTAATAGTACATAGGTGTAAAGTGAAATTCCATTTCTCCCTGTGGGGAGAGTAGGGTGTGGGGCGAAAACATTTCTTTGTTTGTTTCACTGATCTGTTTCCTTTACAGGCAAGTACTTGATCAAACTTCTGCGCCATGCCGATACAACCTATTGTTTCCCCGGGATTCAAATCCAGACCTTAATGCAATTTTTGGCAACACGATTAACCATTTATCTAGAGAGGCCGTCTGTATATAGGAACAGTGATCAAATCTTGACCCAAAATTGACTACCGCTAACGGAATTAATTAAACATACTCATACGAAGAATAAAGCTAGTATCGTATATATTATTTATCTCTACCTGTTATATCTCCGAAATTGTTAATAAAGTAAAAAACGTGTATCGAACAAGATCCCACTTTCGTTTTCACTAAAAATTATTACGAACGACCTTTACTTTTACTTTCGCAAAATCACGTGTTATGCTTTAAAGGCCTCTGAACAAACAGTATTTTTAGGTTAATTAATTTTGATGTCGGTTTTAGACGGGTTAGCAATGTATAGCTAATCAACGGGTCGAGATGTTTAAATAAAACACTTTAAAGTTATTTGAAACTGATTTTTAACTTCGGCCCGACGTTTCGGATGCTTTGCAACAGCCGTGGTCACGGGGAGGCTGCAAAGCAAACGTCGGGCCGAAGTTAAAAATCAGTTTCAAATAAGTTTAACTAATATATCGCGTTTTAAACCGTTAAAGTGTTTTATTTAAATGTGTACTACTCGCGTAAACTATACACAGGGTCGAGTTGTGTTTTTTATGATAGAGGAGTACAAGCAATCATGGGGTTTGCTTGAAGGAATGTGGAATACCTCAGCCATATAACATATAAGTAAGATGCGCTGTCGGCCTATTTGCCTTTGGATATTTAGAAACCACAGACCGAAACGTTTTCATCTGTGGACGGTAGTTCGTAACCGTGACAGAATGTTGATATTCCTACCACCCACTCAATAACTAAATTTCTCGAAGTCCAACATGTTTCTTGAAAATTATAAAGTGAATAAAAATATCGGCGAGGGAATCGAACCCACGGCCCGTTGATTGCCAAACACTGCTATTACACCAACGAGCCTCGCAAAACCGTGTTTTAACTATAAATTATTTAAGCTGTTGATAAGTAATGAACATTAAAACTCAAAATCCTAATGAATTAAATTAATTATTTATATTAATGTATTATGGACACTAAACGTGAGAACGTTCTTATGAAAATTTCTGAAACGTACGGGCTTTCACACAGTCAATTGAACGCCATGCTTGTTTATCTTCCTCTATCATAAAAATGATAACTTAAGAATGTAAAGGAATTTATCATGGACCTTCAATTGCATGGTCTGTGATCGTGCATGCAATGTTGATGGAATAACTTCCATGCTTTACGTGCGAACAGACGATTATGGCATTCTTGTTACGCAACGGTCTCGGTGGGGCCTTTGACTCGAGATGTAACCTACAAAACTGGTTTGCATACGTTTTCATATGTTTGTTTACCTACTTTAGCTATTAGTCAGGCACAGATCTCACTTTCTTTATTTTCTCAAGGTGACAATGGCCTAATTGTTTCAAGGTGAAATAAAATAAGGAACAACGTCCTTCAAACAGACAAACAAACTTCGGTGTCACTATTTAAATATTCGTTTGCAAATTTAAGTACCTACTGTCTGTAGTTTACGCGAGTGGTACACGATGTAATAAAACACTTAACGGTTAAAACCTTAAACGAGCGTTAGCGTAGAGACTTTAACATTAAGGACACCCTCCATCTTCTGTTCCCCCGTGACCACGGCTGGTACAATTCATCCGAAACGTCGTCCGAAACATTTAAAAGTGTTTTATTTCATTTCGTTCGTAAATGCTTTTTGTTTTGCTATATTTATACGAGACAAATCAAAGAGAAGACAATTTGATGATATAGGTAATACATACTAGAAGATACAAATTACCTACTTAATAAAAACTAACTATTAAAGGGACTCTTATAAATAACGAAATTAGAAAACATATTTTAAATTAACTTCCGACGTATCAGATCCTATGCAGCAACCATAGTGATTACAGCCTTAGGTTAGTAAATTATCTGCGCGTTTTAGACCGTTGAATAAGTTTTAGTGAAATGTGAAGCATCTTATGCATTAATAAATAAATAACATTCTTACACTTTATGATTCTATGCCTTAGGTCCGACATCTAATATTTCATGACATCCCATTCTATGTTTTATTTGCTTATCGATAAGATTGTAGTTCCGGTCAAACAATATTTCCATATTAGCCAGACAAATATGCCAACAATACGTGAGCTATAGAATTAGTAACGACCTCGCTGAATAAGGTTTTAGGAAAAGCATTGTTACAAAATATAATAAGCATAAATCAAAGCACAGTCGTATATGCTAGGCAAAGCAGCAAACTGTACTTCTACTACTTCTCTTATACTAATACATAGTTCTACGCTATTGTTACAGATCAATAAACTAGCTAAGTAGATCAAGGCATAAAAATTAAACCCACTATTTTACCTAAACCTCCAAAATTATACAACAGTATATAGACACGTTAAAAATAATCTTTCTTTTCTTTTTTCACGTTTGTCTCTTTTAGTTTTAGTTAAAGATGATGGTAGAGGATCCTGGTGCGTTGCAGCACCTGGTCTTACGATCGATTTGCAACTGTTAAAAACTATATTTTTTTTATTTGTAGCCAAATGTTTGAACGTATTGCCTAGCATTGCATTAAGTGCGAGAGGTTCGAATCCCAGGGAAACAAAAAATTGTTTCGGTCGGGCAGAGCGTACAAGTCTGATCAGCTACTTGCCTGTTAAAGAACAGAGCAATGAAACGAACTCAATAAAGTGTACGCCCCATGCCCCACGAGGGGGAAACGGGCTTTCACTTTAAAAAACTTATTTAAATTGCCTACAGAAACTGTAATTGCCTTAGTCAGCTTGTAAATAGAATTTATATTAGACATACCTATCTATTCTCATCTTTCATAAAAAACATATTTTGTTCTTGATAGAAGGTTCTACCGCCAAAATAACTCTGTCGGGTTATTTTTGGTTTGGATATTTGGAAACCCACAGACTGAAATTGCAGACTTTACTGGGCTTTTTCTTCTGGGGTTCGTGATACTGACTGAATTCATATATTGCAACTATTGAACGTTCAGATTCTCCGGACGAAGTCAATGTTATAAATTGTAATGTGATTTTTAGAAATATCATGGACCCGGTGGGTTATCGAACCTACGAACAGTGATTAGTTATTTACATTGGTACCAATAACATAGTTTACGCGAGTACTACACTTTGAAATAAAACCACGGCTGTTGCAAAGCATCCGAAACGTCGAGCCGTAGTTAAAAATAATTTAAAAAAAAGTTTACCTAAAATATATCGCATTTTAAACCGTTAGAGTTTTATGTAAATACCAAGTACATATTTATTTCTATGACCCTTAACAAATTTTTGAATATATATTAAGTCGTATTAAAATGCATGTACAAATTGAATAATTATTACTGTTGACTAAATATTTATGTACTTCACAGACTTGTCCCTTTCAAATACCGACCTTTGTTTAGATCGAACTAGTTTCTTTGTTTGGTACAAGGTGCAATAGCCCTGGGTGCAGTGCCTGTGTTTCTAAAACTGTATTTTAGAGCAATGTTATATTTAATCGACTTGAACCATATGGTTTAAGAAATGGATATCCAAAGCCAAATATAGTGGTATTTCACCCCCCATCAAGAAACCCCATCTTGTCTACCCTCCTCTATTAAAAAAAAAAGAATACTGTAATTTTTTATAAAGTATATAGTTAAGTAACTGTGTGTGTAAGTACTTTTGAAAATCAAATCGTTTTCTTTGCACACGTGCACATGTATATATTGAAATTCAGATAGGTTTTAGTTCGTGGATTCCGAATAAATATCGTACGAAATCAACAAACTAATTAACGATAACTGATTTGTTAAGATGATATATGCCTGTCCTTCTATGAAGTGAACTCCGTGCTTGTCTGTCCTCCATATGTATTAATCCAAAATTGATTTATACATGGTATATGAAATAGAATCATGTTTCAATCATGTATAACATTAGTGGTGCATCTGTCTTTGCATGAATAATCAATCTTTGACCCAGCTTCCGCTCAAATTACTCTATAACTCTTCATGTTTCCACATGATCACTAATTATCATCATATAAATATGTATGAAGATATAAGCTGAATGGCCCAAGCCGGTTTTATATTATGCAAGAAGCTTATGACTAATAATTTTCAATGAAAGTAACTTCTATGTGGCATTTTAAAAAATGTATACATATTATATGACATCTGTCAAATACTTTTTGTTGTTTACGCGAGTATTCCACTTTAAGATAAATTACTTTTAACGGTTTAAAACGCGAATTGTATTAGTTAGTAAAGTTTAAGCAGCAAATAGCTATAACTGGTTGTATTCTACTTTTTTTATTGGTCGTCGCGCTTAGCTTTATAATTTTTTTTAAATAGTATATAGAAGTAGATGATTACTGTTCTTCAAGTCAAAATCAACTACTGAAACGGACACAGAAATATGTACGCTCCGTGCCACAGACATGAACTTCTCATTATTTTCTCGGCTAAAGATTAAGTTATATAAGAACTTAATTTATCCAAGAATATATTAAACTTAAGAAATATACTACATACAGAATTAGGCATTACCATTGTGATGGTTGATAGCAGAAACAGATACAAATTATAAATTTAAAAAAAAATTACAACTCGGGCAGGACTTGAACCGGCATCTTCGGCGTTCCGTGCTGTTGTTCTAACCAATTGTTAACCACGAGGTTTTAAATTTTTAATCAATTTTTAATTTATAGTGCCATCATGTGAAAAATTATAGAGTTTCGAAAATCATACAAATAAAAAACGCATCCAAAAACATACATGCCTTTCCGTTGCAAACTTTCGTTTATTTGCCCATACTTTCATTCCAAAGCCTTGCATAACGGTTGAAGAATAATAAAAATTGTTGAAACTACTTAAGTATTCTAGTTTTTGTATAGAAGACAATATTTTATGAAAACGATGCTGCCATTTTGCAACATCTACACACGTGACGTCTATATGTCGAAAGTATTGGCGGGCGACTACTCATTTTTGTCTAGAAACGGGCAAAGATTGTTGTATTGAAAAATGGCAGCTTATGGTAATCAGCGCTTCGTTATAGTTTTAAACCAAAATTGCACATAATTCAGCTTAGTTTGCTCAAGTTCAGATTTTCTCAAATAAACGTTTTGACACATAAAATATTCCAATGTATTTTTCCAGATGGCGTGCCGGCTGTAACACCACTGCAAGGTCCCATACTGTTAAGAAACGGAACTGTTCCAGTAGTGCCCCTGACGTCCTATCCCACAGTCAACAATGGTTCCTTTTATCAAATACCTGTAAGTAATTTATATATAGTTTATCATTGCGCCAGAGTTGCATGTATGAATAAGTTAAAAAATTAAAAAAAATTGACGATAAGCTGTAGGATACGGTATCTAGTTTGATTATAGCAGCAGCACGGAACGCCTTGGATGCCGGTTCATGGCCCGTGACGTATTTTAAAAAATCTAAATTGATTTTTAAGTTATCCAATTAGATTAATTTATAAGAATACTTTGCGCACAGAAAAAATGTTTTGAAATAATTCATCATTGATATATATATAAACTTTTTATTAGATTATTATTGTTATTATTAATATTGATGTAATGTTGCCAGAGTGGACATAGAGTTATGTGTTAGACACGATCGTAAAACTCCAGCGAGAGGTAGGTCAAACCAACAAAAGGATATTTGTTCATAGACAAAACAAATGTTCGCTTCGCGCCGTACAATATCAACAAATATGATTGTTTCATAATATTTGTACGAACAATTATCACCATACTCTGTAACGTCGAAAAAGGCCTGGCAATTAACAATTGGAAGTTGGTTTAAGAAATTTCTTATCTCTAAAATAATTTAAATTCTATAAATAACTAGCTGCGTCAGCGACTTCGTTTGCGTGATATAGTTATTTGGGCATCAAAATTCGTTCCTCATCTTTTTAAATTTAAGTTTTTATACACAACATCGGTCGTTCGAACGTCGTTCGGGTCTTGTCGGACATTCCCGTCCTGGCCATTTTTTTTAGATCATTTAAAAGGAATAATTCTTTCATGCATATTTTCTGGGTGTCTTGAACCGTTTCCGTAGAGTACCCATCGGAAGCCCAGAGGGATGACTAATTTCCTTCGTTTTTTTTACATTTTTCGCTGTTTATTCGCTCCTATTAGTATATATAACCTAACATATTTTTTTTTAATCTGAACCAGTAGTTCCTGAGATCAATAAAAAAAAATCTAACAAGCGCGTTCAAACAAACTCTTCAGCTTTATCTATTAGTATCGATATAGGTATAGATAAGTGGATTACAAAAATCAACAAAGGAATAGAATTGATTCGTATCGATTTATACTGGAATATGTAAGTTATTTATGACTGTACTAAATCTGAATGGTTACACGTATTGTATTTCGTTAAGCCCGAGACATCCTGAGTTCGAATTCAGGGGATACAACAAATTGTTTCAGCCTGGCAGGGCACAGAAGTTTGATCAATGAAAACGGGGCTTTCCCCCTTTTTTCCACATATACCTCCGTTTCTTCTCCCCTATTGGTCGCAGTGTGATGTTTTATAGACTAAAGCCTTCCCCGATAAATACTCTAACCAGCACAAAAATAAAATTTCAGACAAATAATCAAACTTCAGCTTTATAATATTAGTATAGACTAATACATATAAATGTCTGATTAAATTATAATTTTGATGTCCGAATATTCATCTTCTTGCATTGGAAATCTACCAACTGCATAAAATTAATGTGATTTCATAATAATTGCTCTTATTTGTCAACTTTCCACATTCGATAGCGTTAATTACTTAATTAATCTGATCTCAATACATAAATGATAAATCAAGAGGTAATTACAACTCTCAGCTTATTTACATACAATTTGCACATCGATTAAGCATGCAACTTGACGTTTACTCCTTTGTATAAGACCACCATAATACAGGCAGTATGTCGTACTATTCAAATAAAACACCTTTAACAGTTTACAACGCGAAATATATAAGTCACGAGTCCCCTTGACGTGATCAAGGGGTCTCGTGACTTATATGCTGCTAAACAACCGAAACGTGGGGCCGTAGTTAAATATATTTTTTTTAATGTTTCGCATTTGAAACCGTTAAAAGTGTTTTATTTAAATGGATATTACTCACGTAAAATACACACAATAAGCATACAATGCTTACAATGTTTGCAGTTATAAAGAAATATGATTTTCAAAATTAGACCAGCTTCTGGGGTATTATATATTCTTTCAAGTGAACCGCGTCTGTCCTTCTCTATCATAAAAAAACAGATTTATAGTTTTCAAATAATACTCGTAGGTTTTGAAATAAAACAAATTGTTTTACAGCGTTGTCCCAATTAATTAATTTATGTAAGAATATAAGATCTGTACAAGATATGGTCATTAAAGGTTGTCAATCAGTACGTCATTAAAACTAATCATTTTATTTTACATTTTATCGTCCTCGTCGGCAAGTACTGACAAATCAATTAACACTTATATGGATAGATGAGGCGTAAGTCATAAAAGTCTATAGTCTCTGATTAAGAATTAATTACCATGGATCAATAAAGGAAATTAATATAAGACATCAATACAATTGTAAGATACTGTCTATAGTTTACGCGAGTAGTACACATTAAAAAAAACACTTTAACGGTTTAAAACGCGATATATTAGTTAAACTTATTTGAAAATGATCAAATAAGTTTAACTAATATATCGCGTTTTAAACCGTTAAAGTGTTTTATTTAAATATAATTGTAAGCCTTAGCAACGGGGTCCTTGGTCCAATAGTTGCATTTTATGGCCAATTATAAACGGGTCGTGCGTTCGGACCTACCCACCCACCTAATCAAACGTGTTTATAAAACAAATTTATATCCAGAAGCTTTAAGGTGTAATTGCGTTTCGGTTTTAGTCTATGGATTTCCGAATATCCGAAGCCCAAATAGGTCGACAGCGCATTTCGCTTAGATGTTATATAGCTGGGGTATTTCATCTACCATCAAGGAAACGCCATGCTTATCTGTCATCGTCTATGATAAAAAAGGGACTATATAAATTCTGGTTTTAATATTTGTTTGTTTATCTATGGATTGTCTTAAAAAGGTTTTTTATCTGCTTCTTTTGATCGGTCGTATTTCCACTATTTGACAGACATTGCGCAAGCACTGCATGTATTAATAAGTTGAAAGAAAACGACGAGCACACGGTAGCTCAATTGGTTAAAACAACAGCACGGAACGCTGACGATGCCAGTTCTAGTCCTGTCCGAGTCGTGCATTTTTTCAACTTATTTTCGATTTTTAATTATAATTGTAATTTAAAATGTCCCGGACAGAAACAATAATTTTATGTTGCAACTTAAACAAATGTTTAAGTACGAAATGTAGGGCCTTAGTTGTCGATGACTAAGATTGAGGTAGAAATCATAAATTTTAATGAAAGGTGGGCGTTTAAGGAAATCAAGAGCAGAGTTGCCCGTTAGATTGTTTAGTATGACCAATTATCTAGTTAATCTAATTTTATCTATCACCATTTTAATATCCAGATGTCCAGACGAAGTCCAAAATGTGTCAGGGAAACTATAAATGGATTAGAAACATTGTGGCCCTGGGGGGATGAAACCCACCCGTTGATTGGTCTAATGGTACCAATTCGAGAACGTCAATTTTTTTCTTCTTAGATGTCTTAAAATATGTTTCAAAGGTCCCTGATCTTGCCCGTTGTTTTACAGCGAAGTTGTGCCTATACTGTGCTAACTTATTAAAATTGCGACGGCGTAAGACCGCAGGAAACGATCTCTATGGCTTAGTCACTTGCGTGGGTTGATGATAAGCCTTACGTGAGTGGGCTAGGTTTGCACATGGCTCGTGCAATATTTACTTAATAAATGGTCCGATAGTAGCAATGTATGGCTTTTAAATAAAACACTTTAACGGTTTAAAACGTTTCGGATGCTTTGCAGCAGCCGTGGTCACGGGGAGACTCGGATTCCCGAAACGTCGGGCCGAAGTTAAAAATCACGGATCGGTTTGATCTACTTGCATGTACGTAAAACCGATCCGAGAAACGGATACAGAAAGCTTCGCTTAACTTAGCAAGGTGGTCACGGGCGCTAGTAAAAACAAAAGAACGTGTTCTTTATCCCCCCTTTCCGCGTAGCCTTAACTTATATATGCCTCCAAAACTATGAATAAGTACAAGAACAGTTAATTTAAAATTTTAAAAGAGAAAGCTATTTTTCTTTTACAGTTATCTCTTTTCAAAGATTTTCAAGATTACGATAGCTATTCCACTGAGATTTGTTGATTTTGTTTTTCTTGTTGTCACATAGAACCTTTGTTGTTACCTTTAAGAGTAAGCAGCCTTAACAAATTTATCTACAAACAGTAGCAATTCACGTTTGTTAGACCTTGAACTATAATATTTTATAATACGTGTACCAACTATAGAATAAATAGTTCGAAAACTAATCGTTACATGAAACATTTTCTTATGTGATTATAAGTTAGATGATTAAATCTGAAAATAATAGATTCCTAATAAGAGAGAGAGAGAGTAAAACTAGAAATCCTACAAATGTATAAATATGTATTTATTCTATCGCGTTTATAACCTATAAAAGGGTTTTATTTAAATGTTGCAACTTTCTTCTTTTTTAAACAACAGAGTGCTTAAGTTTTCATATTTTCTAAAAATACTAAGAAATTTGACACTTTATGTCACAGAAATACAGACACGCAGTTTTATTTAATGGACGGTGCTATATCCCGCCAAATAAGGAATGAACAAGATCTAAATAGCACTTTTAAGGGGTTAAAACACGACATACATTAGTGAACTTATTTACAATTTATTTTAACTACGGCCTGACGAAACGGATGCTTTACAGCAGCCGTGGTCACGGGGTATCTTTTGCGTAAATTAAAGACAATATTTAACAGATTAATGTCGACCTATTTTGTCTTGGAAATTCATTTTGGACATTTAGACACTAACTAAGTACTTCAGTTTTACGACATATGTGCACAGAATATGTTGTAAAGACTACTTTTTACATACATTAACAAATACCTAAAATTCGCCACGCAGTGTTTTTTGCTCAATATTTCACACACTACGTAAAGTAGCAATTTACTAGCTGCGTACGCGTCTATATTCCGTTGTATTTGCATGCAAGTCGCGTGCTTGCAAAACTTCGCAGTACTTAAAGCAGAAACACCTGAGACGCGTTGAACTTTGTTGTATCGTGGAATCAAGGTTGCTGTGATTTTCAATTCAGACAAAATTTTATATTAAATTGATTAGCTATGGCAATTAAAAAAAAATCCTATTCGATCCCCACAGGGTCTAACATTTATCTAATGAATTTATATGTTATCTCAAACTTATCGTCTGGAAATCTGGATACTGAATAGGTAGTCAGAATAAAAATTCCGTCCGGGTCACGAACCACCGTTCACAGATAAAAATGCCGTGGAGTTTAATCGCGTGTCGGTTTAGTCTATGGATTTCCGGATATCCAAAGCCAGAATAGAACTCCGGTCTACTTACCAAAACAAGAAACTTCTTGAAAAGGAGTAACATTTTTCCTGGACTGTTGCAAAGGTAACGTAAAAAAACTGGTAACTAGTAAAATTTTACGAAAATTCTAAAAACGTAATCATCCTTACAATAATACGTATTGACTATTAGGAACAATAATATTTTAATTTTAATAATAATACATTTTAAACATATATTTAAAAAATCTAACCCTAAATAAATTATTATTGTTTACATAAAGTTCTCATCTCGTAACTTTGTAGACCAGGCGAGCATCGAACCTCACTACACCAAAGATACAGTAGAAATAAAAGCTTGAACAATGATCAGGTTACATGGTTCGGTTCAAAGAACTTACGCTATTATAGAAAAACGTAAAGCCGTTTTTTTGATTCCGTGAAAAATTAGACAATGGACGACAATCGTAGGCCATTGTGAGACATTGCCTTTATTTGATACCTGTCAATCGCTCGACTTAGCTCTATAGATGCGTTAGGCAGTTCGTCGTTCTGGGTTCGAATCCCTGTGAAAAAAAATCGGTCGGGCAAAGCACAGATTTAACTAAATGCCTGTAAATAAAACCGATCAGTGAAGCGAGAGTTAAACTGTGTTCGCCCCAATGGGAAACGGGACACTAAGCCAATAGTTGCTTTTAGTTTCGGCTTTATAAAATACAATTTAAGTAACGCTCACATGAATTTAAAGATTAAATAATGCTCCTTTAATGAATGCTCCGATTAAAAATAGAAAGATCATTTTGTAAAAAACTTTTGTATCGAATCTGTCGGTGGCGTCTCGGCGCCAAACGACCAAAGTTTTTATCTACAATTCATATCGTATGCTAATAAATTCAAAACTTGAAGGTTATTGACACTGTTGCGTCCAAAAAAGTAGAGAATATTCAAAATGGTAAATCATCTTAAATAGAATCAATCTAGATCAATTAATAAGGATATCATACATCTGGTATAGTTTTTACGACTTGAATACCAAAAAGGTTTTACTTATAAAGTGACTTATTATGTAACTTGACTATTTTTCGCTCGGTCTTATTTGTTCAACCAAATTCAACATTTAAATAAATAACAATAACGGTTTAAAACGCGAATTATATTAGGTAAACTTATTTGAAAATTATTTTTAACTACGGCCCGACGTTTTGGATGCTTTGCAGCAGCCGTGGTCACGGGGAGACGCAGAATTGACTAACGGTGTCTTCCTGTTTATACCGGCAAACAGCTATTGGCAAACACACTACATACAGTATTTAATTAATTGCATTTTCCTGCGACTAAAGTCTTGTCGCGCATGTGTAGACAGCCTTATCCTTTGGTCACTAGCACCTCCAAACTGTATACGCATAGAAAAACGTCTAATTCGGCGGCTTCCCGTTTTGAATAGCATTAGATTTTTATCGGTCCTTACAAGCGCGTGTTAATTAAGTTTATTTCGGTAAATAAAGTTTGTGTTTGCCGTAATTATGGAATTTTGTTCTTACGTGAGTCCACTTCTATCTTGCATTTATACTGTATTTGTAATTGCATATCTTGGATGCTTCGTTACGATTAATTAAAAAATGTTTTCTTAAGAACTGTCTGTAACTTACGCGTTTAACTACACATTTAAATGAAACACTATTAACGGTTTAAAACGCGAAATATATTAGTTAATAAATTTTAAATAAGTTTAAAATTTATTTTAACTTAAGTCCAATGTTTCGATACTTAGCAGTGGCCGTGGTGACAAGGTTATATGTTTCGCGTTTTAAACTGTTAAAACTGTTTTATTAATATGTTTTAGGGCTTCGTACTGCCATAATCGTAGTTCTTAGTATGTCAGGGGTCTGTCATTTACATGTATGCCAGGGGAGGACAGACTAGCGGAAGAACTTGATAGGAGATAATATAATACTCCAGCCACACAACATCTTAACGAGATACGCTATTTCATTATATACACCTTGCTTAGACATACATACGTCAACTTATAAAATATAACTATATTTTGTACTCTTATATAATTCTATCGTTTCAATTTTCCAGATCCTATGGACCGCTCTGTCCTTGGCCCTTGGTTACGAGCTCCAAGGTCAAATCATCAGAGGTGTGCCATGCGTGAAGCGAAATTTCCAGCTTTATTGTCCAACGGCGGGCAACACTTATCCATTGTAATTTTTTTACTCATTAACTTTTTGTCGATGTTATATTGGTTGTATGTATTTAAAATGTTCGCTTTGAGAAAAGTTTTATTGTAGGCCTTCATGTGACATATGTAGCTCCAATCACAGACTTATTTTGCGACAGCAAACAGCTTAAAATATGAAGCTTAATTTTAATATAGAACCTGTGTCTCATTGTAGTTTCTACTTTATTATCTGTATACGTTTTATTCATAATTAATTCAAATCGTAGGTACCTACTCTATCAAAATACCAAATAAAGAGAATATTAAATACAGTGTAAACTCTATATAGCGACACTGAAGGGACTGTGCATTTTATGGCGTTATAGAGAGTTGTCGTTAAATGGAGAGAAGAAACATTGTATGAAAAACAAGCTAAACCAACCAAAGCCAATTAATTTCGACGCTTAAGAGAGTTTGTCGTTAAATAGAGTGACGTTACATGGAGTTTACACTGTATATTGAATTGAAGTTAGTAACACATTTATGTGTTCGTTTCACTTCTGTTCGTTTCAGTTCTTTTAGCAAGTAGTTGATCAAACTTCTGTGCCCTACGAGAGTGAAACAATAAATTGTTTCCCCGGAATTCGGACCCAGGACCTCTCGGGCATAACGCAACACATCTACCCATTTAGCTATGAAGGTGTTACATTGACATTTTCCATGTTTCTGATTAATATAAGAAAGTTTCTATGTTTCAGAGATAAAATCGAGACCTTCATAGATGAAAACAAGGCGTTAATAAAACGTATGTATGGCTCCTTTACAATGCCCGGCGGGAGCAGGGTTCGCCGAGCGCCAGGTGTTCCAGATATGCACGCAGGAATACCAGATTCTCATTCTGGAGATTCCTATTTTAGGCGTCACGTCCGCCAAGCCAAGCCAAAGCTGCCAGATGCCCAAGCTGTAAACAGCACGGGAAGGTAAATATAATACTTTCGTTATATAATGAACTAGCAGCGCCAGTGACTTCGTCCGCGTAGAATAAGGTAGGTGCGGCCAATAAGGCCTGTCGGGTAATAAGGCCTAAGTACTAGAAACATAACTTTGAGTAGACCCCGCCAGCTGACTTCACAGTCATAGGTAGCTAACAACCTAAGATGGTGCCCCAAACATGTCGCGACTCGCAGGCCCGCATGGTTCCGAGACTGTGGGGTCACTAATCGTGGCCGGCGGACGCATATCTCGAATAATAATATGACGGTCGAACAAATCGTAAATATTTTATGAAAAAAAAAAATTTTCTACGTTATTTTGCAGTTTTACATCATTTTAGTTAATGTTTTGAAGACCTGTGCTGTACAAAAAATTGTAAATTACACGAAATCATTTTATTTTAAAAATTTCTTGACAACGTGGTCGGTGGTTAATAAGGCCTATGAAAATCGACCCTAGGCCTTATTACCCTCCTTAAAGTATTATCAAGTGATTACATAATTTAGGTCTTTAGAACTACTATTACAGAAATTAGAAGCACCAGCTCCTTTTCCAGACGTTGTCGATGTAGAAAATTTACCACCTCGCACTCCATTAAGGCAAATGGCTCCCGAGACGCCTCAGTCATCGACACCCTGGCAAGAACAAACAAATGATCATACCAAAAAGATCCTCCAACATGTTTTACAGAATGGTTTAATGTAGATCCATCTGTGATGATGAGGATAATGTACCCTTCGCTCAAGTAAAAAGAACATCATTTAAGCAACTCCTGCCTACACCAGCTAAAAATACATAAAAGACATCAACAGTCAGAATAAACGCCATCAATTACAGAGGAATACCAGTTAGCAAAGAGCTGTCTAATAAGAACAACGTTGTCGCGCATGCCACCAGGACCGCTATGAGGATGTGTCACAAATGCAGCAAGTGGTACCACGAGGAGTGCGTGGGTTTGTCAGAGGATGATTTTGAGTCGTCGATGATGTTGAGTGTCCAGATTGTTCCTAATTTGAAAAATAATGTTATTTTTAAGCCTTTACTGTGTGATTATCGCATTACAATATTTTATTGATCTCAAATACTAAATATAAGAAGTTTATTTCGTTTATTTTTGAAGTTTAAAGTCTTAGGCCTTATTATACTACCATAGTTTAATAAGGCCTAAGTACAGTGTTTTTTAAAAGCAGTAATTAAAACTATAATTATAGCATAGGTTGCTGTTTTCCGTTTTTATTTGATAGTTATTAATATAAAAGTTTAAATTACATTAAAATTTGTTGATTTGTTTTAACAGTTTTTGATTTATTTCAATTCCTGCTTAGCTAGGCCTTATTCGCCGCACCTACCTTAGTTATATTGACCGCCAAAATTGTTTTTACAAATCTCCGTATATCCTCTTGTACCATAATCGCAGTGCACGCAATGGAAACTCTCAAAGATATATTTCCCCGTTTGTTCCACATTTTCCACTGCTTCTTTGCTACTGGCCTTGTTTTATAACCTAAAGCCTTCCTCTAAACAAATAAAAGAATCTTTCAATTCGAACCAGTAGTTTCTTAGATTAGCTTGTCAAACAAACTCTTTAGCTTTATATCGATGATTAAATGAACGTAAATCCTATTTATATATATTCATTCCTTACCATCCCAACGTAAATCAGCTGCTTATAACACTAGACCAAAAACTACATTGATACTTTGGGAATCACCTATCACATGTCCATTTTTATATCTACCGTCTATAAAAGTGTTTGTACATTTCAGGGTAGACGCCTGTGAGAGTAAAACTGAGATCATGACTCCATACTGGGCACTAAATTCGGGCAGAAAACTGCGAGCTATTGTGAACACAATGCACTTCGAACAAGCCATACACCAGGAAGTGTGCAGGTAAACTTCAATACGGTGCATTCAACGCCCGAAGTGTTCCACAGTAGTTACCATTTCCGCCTAGAGATGGCCCTATTTCCGGTAGCCATGTTGTTTTTTTATTATAGAGGAGGACAGACAAAAAAGTTTCTGCCTGATTATTAAGACCAGCTTCCAAGACGAAGTCTAATATGTTTTTCAAAAATTATAAATAAATCAGAAACATGTTGGACCCGATAGGGATAGAACCCAACCCGTTGATAAATTAGCCAAACATTACCATTAGACTAACGAGTCAAAATATATAGCATTGTATTGAGGTTTAATATATTGGGTCTAGTGTCAACACTGTTATTTAAACGATACCATTCATAAGTAAAGCAACAACCTAACTTCTAACTAACCTAATTTATGCAACAATACGACCCATGACTCAATAATTCCTCATACTAAAGTAAATCTACTGAAATTAACTTTGTTTACAGTAAGCAGTCCACATCTCGTTGCGCAGGAGATTGCGGTTGTGAGCAAAAGTACAAATGGCACAGATTGCTCGCGTACGATCCGAGCGACGACTGCGCAGGAATCTTCATGGATTGGTTCTTATTCCCGTCTTGCTGTGTGTGTCGTTGCAAGCCATAGTCTATCCACGTTATCATCCACCGAGCCGCCTTGGTTCAATATAGTAAAGGCCAACAATTTAAGCTATTATAAGGTGCTTTTCCTATAGTTTAAGGTAATTGAGCTGTTTTAAAGACACCGAGATAGAATATATCTCAATCTTCCGATATAAACTTATATGTATTACATAATGTACTGAGCGAATCATTGACATTAACAATACACAATATATCACGATTATTTTAGTAGTCTGGATGTTAAGAGATTGCCTAACATTAGTATTGTGTGTAGATACAGTAGTGCACATTAAAAATTAAAACGCGACATATATAGGTTAACTAATTTTAATTCCGTGCATTCACCACGTGGTGACAGCTGCAAAGTATCTAACCGAAGTTAAAATAAGTTAACCAATATTTATCGCATTTTTTTAAATTTTTATGTATATACAATTTTTTTTAATGTATTTATATTTTATATGTATACTTCATCACATGTAAATAATATACTTATTACTATACTACATATATAACTCCTAATAGTTTAAGTAATGTAAAACTTCGTTATTTTTCAACTGTATCTCAATACTTTAAATATAAGCTAAGTATTACTTTGATTTTTGTAGACGGTTAACGTTTTGTGATGTCTATTTTATAGCTATTGTTAGTGTTCATTAGATTTATTAAAATGGCTGCACTATAATTAAGAGCTGTGTACACTCATTGTAGCATATAAAGCCCCTGAATAAAATATATCTATGATATATAGGGTGATACTTTTTTTAAGCTATACTATAATGCCTATACTTTAAGTTTGCCAGACAAATTATAAATTTTGTCTCCTTCAACTTAGTAATATACCTACAGTGTTCAGCTCCACATTGTCTCTATTTCATGAATAAATTATAATCCATGGTTTAGTTTTAATATTACTATAACCCAGATCATATCATTCTAAATCATATTGTATCACAATTTCTGTTATACCCTTTCTATCTCTCAATGGCAATCTTTTTCTTTTAAAAACCTCCAAGTTTCAAGTAACTACCACCAGCTGTTAAATAAAACAAAAAAGATTCAACAAATAATATATGTAATTCATCTTGATACTATTTACAGAAAACAAAGCATAATTACAACTAACTACTGTTCTCATATTAATTTGGATACTTAGCCATAGCTTATTCAGTTTTGGTTTCTTTTTGCTTCATTTCTTCGAATTGTTTAAATATTTTTTCACTAAGCTTCTCTCCTTCATCATCTATTTGCTCAACGGCTAGAACTTCAGGGATATAAAACTGCATCATGTTTTGAACCTGTAAAATTTGGTTTTAAACAATTACCACAAAAGATTTAAACTGATTTTGATGCCAGGCTACAATTTTATTTATTCATAATATATAGGGTTAGTCATATGTTGATATAACCTCTTAGATAGATTAGATTAAAACTTTTAGGCACAATTAATAAGCATAATGATATATAAATATTATATATCAATGATGAAATGAAACTAACTCCATTTTTCAAAGTAACTATAGAGCTTGGACAAGATGAGCAAGATCCTTGCATCTTGAGTCTCAAAATCCCATCTTTGAAGTCAACAAACAACACATCACCACCGTCTTCTTGCACTGTTGGTCTTATTCTTGTATCCAGTAATTCTTTTATCATTTGAACAATTTCATCGTCGTCTTCATTTATTTCTAAAAACAAGGGCTCTCATATGTAAGCAATAACTAAAATTAAATATTAAAAAGTACTACTAATATTTAAACAAGAAAAAAAGTTGTCATTACATTTTTTTTTGACTTTGAGTTATGTGATACTGTTTTTGAATCTTGAACCAGATCCTATCTATACAATATTTGTTATCTCCCCCAATGCTATAAATCCAACCAATGATGGACCTGTGCAAAATAGGTCTTCAAAGACAGTCTAGCAATAATTTTAAATTTGACAGTTTTTGGGTTATTTAATAACTAATTGAGTTACACATCTTACGGGTATCTCCTGAAAGCTTTGCATCAGTAACAACTGGTAAACCACTAGCAAAGAAGTCCATTATTGTTGCAAAAATATCGGGTTTCAATAATTTCCATTCAACATCATCATCTTGTTTTGTAACAGTTATGAAATCAGATCCAAAAAACACAGCCTTTACTCCATCAATACGGAAGATCATTTTTGCTGGAAATATTAATACAAATAAATATTTAGCATTGTAAGTGATTTTCCAAGTTCAATATACATAGAAATATGTAGTAGTAATTAAAAGGAAAATTTTCTTTTTGCAGTTTTTCAAAGGTAGGTAATAATTATTATGCAAATATTCAATATTGTAATCATTGGATTATCTTCAAATACATAATTTACTATAAATAGATTTATTATAAAAAGAATGTCATAAAAAAGTCAGGTCAATAAACATTATAATAAATATCAGATGTATATTTTATAGTTTGGCTAAAACTTAATGCTAGAAACTTACCCAAAGGACTGCATTGTGCAGCTCCAATATTAGGAAAGTCAATTGTTTGTCCTGGTTCTAACACTTGTGTGCCAGGGAGGAATTTTAAACTGTTCGGGTTGGGAGTTTCTTGTGTTTGGATGAACATTGTTCGACAGTTACACATGTTTAGTAATGGCTTACTTCTATTCCTCCTTACTGTATTAGCAATTTGAGAAATGCCACTAAAGGCCCTAGTATCTGGGTACCTTCAACAAATTAAGTTTGTTCATTATAAACTGACAATCATCAGGCATTTTATATCTATATATATGTAAGTGATAGGTAAGCTAAATATACATAAACAGGAAAAAAAGTGCCTAAATCTTACCTGGAAATAGCAGCAATACATGTGCGACATTGTTGAGTTCTAATAGATCTCAAAAAGTGCCGAAACATTATCTTTGTTATATTATGTGCTTTTGTATCCCAATTCTTTCAAGCACTTGCAACAAAATTACTGTTTATTGTGGGACTAAGCAATACCTTCCTTTGACCTTGTCTTACATTAATACATACAGTATTTTAAAAATAATTAGATATGGATACAAGATCCAAAATAAAAGTATGTATATCTATTTTATACTTGAGTTTTTATAATTGTTCTTTGCACGTTCCTTGATTAGATGTCAATGTCAAATTGACAGTTCACACGGTCAATCTTACTGTGTCAATTGAAATATGTATAATTTTTGAAAACATTAATATTTTTCACATGTTATTGCACATGAAGGCACTATATAATTTAAAAATCGAAAATAAATTGAAAAAATTTTCGACTCGGGCAGGACTTGAACCGGCATCGTCAGCTTTCCAGAGCAACAGCACGGAAAGCTGACGATGCCGGTTCAAGTCCTGCCCGAGTCGAAAATTTTTTCAATTTATTTTCGATTTTTAAATTATATGTATAATTTTCAATAGAGCACTTGTACAATGAATATTATAATTATTATTATCTGTTACAATTGTACAGTCTGTCGGGGACAAAAAATGCAAACTTACAGTTTACATTATTGCACAGCTTTAAACTTTTGAAAGACAAGTTCTTTCACAACTTCAGCGATATTTAATATTTATAAATTTTAACCCCAATACCAGTTAGATAATAAGGTTCACTCAGTGATAGTAGTAGATACGTGAGTAGTTTTTTATAAATAAGTGCGAGATGTGATCATTATTCCTAACTGCAAGTTTGGTATTATATATCTACCCTCGTAACCTTTCATTCTTGGGTATTGTGTTGTGTTTTTTAGGTTATAGATAGAACAATTAATATTGGGGATAAAATGGCAGACCCATCGAAGGGTCGAGGACGTGGCTTAGCCTTAATCCAGGCTTTAAGAGCTCAAAGTGAGGACTCATCAAATAATGAGGCTTCCAGCCAAGTATCTAGTTCTTTTGATATGTATCCACCTCCGAGTGCATTATCTAGCTATGCACCAAGCATTGCCCCCAGTATGGTATGTGTTTTAGCTGTCTATAATTCTTACTATAGTATTTTAAGTGCCAGAGTAAACCAATTTTTTATATGACTTTCATATTCTTATTTCTTTATGTCTTAAAAAAGTTAATTTCACTTAATTACCAAACTTTCTAATACTTACTTGTTGTTTTGTACAAATGTTACAATTCAAGTCATTCATTCAGTCAATGTTCTAAGAGTATAAATTGTAATTTATAAATGTAATAAAATATAGCCAAAATAGTTAGGTTAAAAAATAGTTTATTTTAGACAAACTAATATCAACTATGTATGTTCTTATACTACACTAAAAATTGTCAAATTGACCTTTGACATGTTTCAGGCTTAAGTTTAGAATTGAATGATCTAAAATCTCTCAGATTCGTCATTAAATTTTAGCAACACTTTTTTTAATTTAACTATCTGTACTTTTAGGTTGGTTCTTCTGTTGCACCCACATCAATTGGTGGTCGAGGAAAAATAGCAGCTATGCTTAAAATGCAGCAGAAATCATCAGGGGTTGGAGGTAATATTATCTTTTCTGTGTTTTTGATAATAGCAGTTTAATTTTTACTATTTTAAATTAAGGACACTGATCTGACTGCAGAAGGCCGGGTGATCAGTCCACACTATATAAAAGCTGACCATTTCACCTATTTCCTCCAAATTCTTACCCCAGATATTAAGGAATTCCATATATTCTTATTAAATAAAGATAAAAAGAATTAAATGATGTTGCTGCTAGCAACACTAAGTGTTCTTCAAGTTAGTTTGTATATTTTATTTCATTTCTTTAGTAATATTTTGAGAAGCATATTTCATTTGACAAGAGAGTACAATTTATCTTTATATTGGTTTCTACAAATCAATTTTATTGTAGTTTCAGAGAGTGCAACAACCCCTTTTGTCCCTGCATCTGATACCAGACCAAAACCAAGTTCAAAAGGAATGGGAAGGGGTCTTAAATTAATACAAAACTTGTAAGTAACATGTACATTAAAGAAAGCTTTAACAGTATTAAATGAGCATGAGTTTCTATGACAAGAACCCTTTCAAAGTTAAATTTAGGCAATACATATAATGGTTAGGCCCTTAAGGCCCTATGAAATATCACATTCTTTATAATAATACAAAAATGTTTTTAAAATCCCCTAAAATTAACAACATGTCCTTTTCTTTTATTTTTAGAAAACCACTTGATAGCCTAAAACGCGAAATCTATAGATATATATTTCGTGTTAACTTATTTTTTGCCACGACCCGACATTTCAGATGTTTAGCGGCTGTTGCAAACTGCTGCTGCGTTTTAAACCTTTAAGTTTTTCACTATTCGCTTAAACTATTTAACAAAGAGGCTATTAGTTTTTGAAGGCAATAAAGTCAAATATTATTTATTCATTGCCAACAAGATACTCAATATAATAAAAAACCCATATTTACATTTAATGCTAGTTTAGTATTATATGTATATATAACTAATAAATTTCGCGGTTTAAACCGGACTATTTGAATGGGTACTTTTCGCAAGAACAGACAGAACAAGATAACTAATGAGCCTGTTTAATTAATTTTCTTTCAGGAGAGCAGCGCAAGAATCATCAACATTGGGCGGTGGGGATAGCACTGTTGATTCCATTACCGACCATTTAAGAAATACTAGTCTCTTATCAGTTGGATCATCATTAACTGGCAAAAATAAGCACTTTGTAAGTATTTATTCTTGATGATTTCGTTTAAATGTGTAAAGCCGCAACACCCTTCAAATAACAATTCAAATGTGAGCATGTAATACAAAAAAAGTTATAGCAGAGGTTAGAGTTAGGTTTGGTTAGAGGTTCCAACAAGTATGCAGTTACTTGATGGAAGTTAGATATCCTTTTTAAACACATCTAAACAAGATTTGCTGTCTGCCAAATTTGGCTATATTCTATTATCAAAATCTAATTGAAATGAAAATCTAGATTTACCCTTGAACTATGGCACCCACGACCGAAGAATTTAACCAACAAGCTTGTAAAACATTGATTATCTTTGTTAAAAATCATTATTGTTTAATAAATCTTTATATTTACAGCGAGAAATAAAAGACACACCACCGGTTGTGAAGAAAGGTGAACATGGAACACCTTGTGAAGTCACAGCTAACTTCATACACCTTAAATTTGAAGAGAACACTGTGTTTGAATATGAAGTGAGATATCAACCCGAGCAGGACCATAGAAGCCTTAGGTTTAAATTGCTTAATGGTAAGTGAAGGTTGTTTTAAATCATCTTAAAGAAAAGCATCTTAAATACCTAGTGTTATCAGAATTAAGTATTAGTTTAGAAATAGTAAAACAGACACATATGTTTAAAATAATAAATAATTTAAATAAAAACGCAGCTAATAATTAACTTCTTTTTTTTAATAATTGTCACAATACGCTCCTGATTGGTCGGGTTTATGATGACGTCACTTGCTTATTAAGTGCCATAAACCACCGTGCTTGCTAGTGTTAAAACTGTTATCTTATCTTCATTATAAAATAATTAAATTTATAATTTATTTTAGTACTTCAATCATTCTTTAAATGTGAACGTTTTGGACCAATGCATATAGATTGTAGATCATATACCAATGGTTAAAATAAGTGCGTGACGTCACTGGCGGTATTACAGCGTTTAATAATTTTTAGTAAAATATTTATCAGTAATCAAAAGTACTGCTTTTCTGAGGTTCCTTTACATCTACCAAATCATAAAAAGTACATTTTAAAAAACAATTAAATAGCCCATTATTAGATAACTTTTGTCCCAGCTGTGGGAACCATTAAAGTGCTGATGATGAAATATTTCACAGAACATCATGATCTATTCAAGGTTAAGTCCTTTGATGGCACCACCTTGTACCTACCTCACCAATTACCAGATGATGTGACAGATCTTGTTTCGACCAACCCGTATGACAACTCTAAAGTAAATATAACTGTAAGTATTAATGTGGAATCTTGTTTATTTCATAGAATAATTAATGTGACTTATAAAATTCCACGCAATTTTTGTCTTTTAAAAAATTGATATCAGTAAATTAAAGCCAAAATTGCACATATGTTTCAATTCAATTATTGGCAAATATGATAAAAATATGTAGATGCCACAGCAAAACCTTCTCAAATTTGTAGTATATTTTGGATTTGATTCCTGAAAAATAAACCATTTAGTGGCTCAGATAGGGGAAACGAGATAATTAAATAAATTGTCGAGCTATATCAAATTTAATGTATTTAAAGTATTTTATTTAAAACTGTTTAAAAATTTAATTGAAACCTCCTTCAGGTAGTATTTAACCGTGTACGACGGCTTAGCGAAATGGTTCACATTTACAATCTCCTCTTCAAACACATAATGAACGATTTGGAGTTGGTCCGATTCGGTCGGCAGCATTTTAATAATCACGCAGCTATACAAATACCGCAGCACAAACTCGAAGTATGGCCGGGGTAAGTCAAAATATGTTACATATGCTAAATGCGTAAGTTTATTTGTTTGACCTTTTATAAGGCACCAATTTTGATATACCTTTTTGAAGAGGATAGTGATCCTATTAACGTTATAGGTATAAAATAATTCTCAGAAAAATATATTTTTTTTAAGAAAAAAATCAAATGCATACAAATAATATTTTGTATTAATCATGATCAACTCATTTACGCTTAAATATTGTAAAAAAGAAATCTCTTTGCAATGTGCCAATAACCGATCCTAGGTTCGAATCTTTAAAAAAATAACAATTTGCAGTGTAAATTGCAAATTGTTGATCACATACTTATTTCGTTTTAAAAGCAAACTAATGAAATACAATAAAACATACCCATAGGAAAAAAATTCAAGAATTTACATATCTTTCTTAAATACGACCTTATAATCAACGTCATTAGTAATGGGTCGTAAGTGCGATCCCCAAAACAGTCCTGACATGTGTCTAATCGATTAAACATTTTTCTCAAAACATATTAGACTTTATCTGGAAATGTGGATATTAAATTCGGGTCACGAACCACCATCCACAGAGTTCCATTCATCCAAAAGCCGTCAAGTTTAATCGCGTTTCGGCTTCAGTCTGTGTATTTCCGTATATCTAAAAATAAAGTCAACAGTGCGTCTTGGTAAGATGTTATCCTACCATCAAGTGACCCTTGTCTGTCCACTCAGAAATACCTTAGCTCAAATCCCGTTCTCGATATGTTTACAGGTATGTAACAGCAGTGGACGAGTATGAAGGCGGATTAATGTTGACACTGGACTCAACGCATCGTGTCCTCCGGACTGAGACTGTCTTGTCCGTCATTAAACGGGCAGCGCAAGAAGTCGGAGCCAATTGGAAGAGAGTGGTGGCTGATGAGCTCATAGGTTCTTCAGTGATGACTAATTACAATAAGAAACTATTTAGGTAAGTCCTAACATAATAATCTAAAAAAAATTTCAACACGGGCAGGATTTGAACCGGCATCCACAGTGTTCCGTGCTATTGCTTTATCCAATTGAGCTACCGTGTACACGTCATCATCGAATTTTTTCAACTTATTGATACATACACCTCTCGCGCAATGTAATTTCAACCCTAAACACTTCCGTATTTCTCATTGTTAAAATTAAACTATTACGCGCTACTAACCTTTTGATACATGCATCTACGCACTAGAGGTTATGGAATGGAAAAGTGACGCGCTTAATTAAATTTTTATTAAAACCTATAAGATACGCAGTCTGTACATTACGCGAGTAGTACACATAAAATAAAACACTTTAAAGCTTCAAAATGCGATATTAGTTAATCTTATTTCGCCAAATACCAACTACGCCGAAACAGATGGCGCTAGCGTAGCAGTTTTTACTTTCAAATTAGTGAAACCCTTCATCATTAGTCTTCCCGTGACCACGGCTGCAAAGCATCCGAAACATCAGGCCGTAGTTAGAATAATTTCCAAATTAGTTTAACTAATTATTATCTTATTGTTATTTATTTAAATCGTGTGTTATTTAAATCTTTATGGATTAAAAATATGACGGCAAGCGTGTTCTAACCAAATTAGCTACCGTTTCTTAAATATATTATATTATAATAAACCGAAAATTAATTTGTATTGTAATGTTTCAGAGTGGACGCTATAGATGACACGATAACACCGCGTTCGACCTTCGAGAAGAAGGTAGATGGGAAGGAAGTGGCGATTTCCTACATTGATTATTATAAAAACAATTACGGTATCAGCATTATGGACTGGGACCAGCCCATGCTTATATCGAGGTTAGCTCATTAGAGTGCTTATATTATATTTATTTACAGGGGTTTTATTTCAATATGTAGTTCTCGCGTAAACTATAGAATCTTATAGTTTAACAATATTTTTTTTATGATAGAGAAGGACAGATATGATTCACTTGATGGTAGCATTTCAATTCAATAGCATCTACCCAAGATGAGCTGTCGACCTATTTTGGCTTTGGATATTCGGAATTCCACAGACTGACACCGAAACGCGATTAAGCTTCACGGCCTTTTCATCCGTGGAAGGTGGTTCGTGACCTGGACGGAATTTCTATATTCCTACCACCCGTTTAATATCCAGATTTCCAAAGTCCAGCGTGTTTCAGAAAATTTATAAATTGGAAAACTAGAAACATGATCGACCTGGTGAGGGATGTACCCATGACCTGTCGATCACTAGCCGTATATTGCTACCATTAGACGAACGAACTCGTCACTTTCTACATTTCAGGGATACAAAGACTGTCGCTGGCAAAGAAGTGGACTACATGATCTGCTTGGTGCCGGAACTCTGTTCGCTGACCGGGCTCTCTGATAACCAACGCAGCAACTTCAGACTCATGAAAGATGTCGCGACTTACACTCGTATCACACCCAATCAGCGACACTCGGCCTTTAAAAAGGTTTGCAACTAGAGTATTTAAGTAATCTTATTGCAAATGATGGCTTATATAAGCCATACGAAGTATTTTAGTAAGGGGCAAATTATAAGAAATATGTTCATGATGAATGTACGGAGATCGTAACATTATATTTAACAAGGTTTTTGGCCCAGGCCGCGGTACGATTTCCACAGGGATTTTTAAAAAATCTATTTATACAGATTTTAAACTTTATATAAAATAGCTAATCTTAAGATGGAAAAACCGTAGTAGTATAAGTGCTATGCTTTCCTTAAAGTGCAAATATAATGAGAAGTATTTCTTTTTTGAGACAGGAGAACAGTAAAGCCTATTCGACTTGGTGAAATGTAAATGACCTCAGCGTCTAAACTAGATGCGTCGTCGACCTATTTAGTCTTTAAAATTCAACATACCGAAACGGTACTTGTCTCATTATATTTGCCCTTTAATGAAATGTGTCGAATTTATCATCCCATATTAGACTAAGAATAGCAATGAAGCAGAATAACGATTTTCAGCGAAATTTCACGTATATTGAAAATAATTTGAAAAATTTTCGACTCGGGCAGGACTTGAACCGGCAACTTCAGCGTTCCGCGCTGTTGCTCTACCAATTGAGCTACCTAGTTCTACACCTCATCGTCGAATTTTTTTCTACTTATTGATACCTGCACCACTTGCGTATTAAGGTTGAACGTCTTATGCTTTGCGGCTTCAGAAATCATTGAAGATGAAAGAAACGATGATATTAATTCCACAGTACATCAGTAGCGTGCTCAGCAACGAGACCGCAAAGAATCGTCTCAAAGGCTGGGGTCTCAGTATAGCGCCGGAAACTGTGGACATAGTAGGCCGTACTCTACCACCCGAGGCTCTCTACTTTGGCAACAACGTGAAGGTGCCAGGGAAGCCAAATGCTGAGTGGAACAACGAAGCCACCAAGAACTCCGTCATGATCGCGGTCGATATACACAATTGGGCTGTTCTTTATACTGACAAGGATAAAAATGCTACAATGGTAGGTTACATAGGTAGATAAAAAAAAATATTACTTTCGTTACACAAAAAGGACTATAATAAAGAAACATCAAAATATAAAATATTATGTTGACAGTTCTAAAGAATTAAATTCATTCATCTTTATTCAATTTGGTTACAATAAAAACGGTTCCTGCAGGTCTATCTTAAAAGATTTTTAGTCTTCATCTATAAATGGTCTATCCAATACAATAATATTTTTTTAATTCAAACCAGTACATCTTGAGGTTAAAGGTCTCAGCACACATATGGGATCGGAAAGGGATCGTAACCGTAACGCCTCGAGCCGTTCAGAATGGTTTGTATTAAACTCCCTACTGCAACGCACACTAATCGGAATCGTAACGTAATCGCCTCGCCTCGGAACAGGCTCCGAACTTGCAATTCCCGCGCTTACAGCTCATCGTCCCCGCGCTTACGGCTCATCGTCCCCGCGCTTACGTCTCTCCGTCCCCGTGCTTGCGTCCTCCTTGCTTTATTCATAAGCGCGGTGTCGCCTAGCCGTAGCCGAGTTGACGTACAGGCGCTGCTGATACGCTTTCGTTACGTGCGTACGGTAGGTTGACGACTGGTTGACAGCGAGGCGAAAGGCGTTACGGTTACGATCCCTTTCCGATCCCATATGTGTGCTGAGACCCTAATGCGTTTAAATAAGCAACTCTTAATATAAAAGACTTGCGGCCAACCCTTACCCGATTAAGATGTTTAAAGTTGTTGCTGCTCAATTCTGGCTTGATTACACCTACTTTTGATGACGAAACAAAGAAAACCATCTCTCAAATACGATGTCCGATAGCTCAAAAATCAAAATAGCTTTTCAAAAGTATTACTTTTTTCAAAATACTTCATAATTTATTTGTACTTTGCAGAACTTCGTAGATACCGTTATGCGATGCTGCAAACCGATGGGGATAACAATACAGAAACCACAAATGGTGCGGCTGGCAAGCGATCGTACGGACGCCTACGTCACCGCACTGAGGAGCGTGATACAGTCGAAACCTCAAGTTGTCGTCACCATATGTCCGTCATCCCGCGACGACAGATACGCGGCTATCAAGCGGATATGTTGTTCTGATAATGCAGTGCCCTCACAGGTAACTAGTTCTAGCAGCAGTCCCACTGCTGGGGACAAGTCTTCCCACGAACCCAGCATTTTGGATCTTAGACAGACCGGCCATTTAAGACAATATTATGAATGAGAACTACGTTAAAAGTTTCACTATGTCATGTGCAGGTGTATGTTATACAATATCGATTAACAGAAACACATGGTAGAGCAATGATAGAGATCAGCGATCGAATTCACAGTTCGTTGACTTCTAGAGATTCAAGGCCCAGACCATATAATATGTAGGCGTACTGGACAGCCGTATAAACAATTTTTATTTGCTTATTTCTAGGTGATAAATGCCCGTACAATAATGAACCAACAGAAGATTCGCTCGGTGACCCAGAAGATCCTTTTGCAGGTGAACTGCAAGTTGGGAGGAACGCTCTGGAACATTCATATACCGCTCAAGTCTGTTATGGTGGTGGGTATCGACGCCTACCATGATCCAAGCCGGAAAAAACGTAGTGTATTTAGTAAGTAAATATTTATTCACTTATTCTTAAAGAAACATATTCCGAAAACATGCAGATGTAAGTACATAAAATTAAAATATATATAAGGATGGTATGAATAATTCTTGGAATGATATCTTACTATATGCCTATATGTCGGCATTAGTTCCGTTAAAATGATATTTAGGCTCACAATCTACCTTAGGTTCCCACCAGGGCACCGGGGTAATGTTTTTAACCAATTTATAATTTTTTGGAAACATTTTAAACTTAGTATAGAAATCTGGATATCAAATGGGTGGTAGGAATATCGAAATTTTGCCCAGTCAGGAAGCACGTGGGCTTATCGCGTTATGGTTTCAGTGTCTGTACTTCAGAATATCAAAAAACCAAAATAAGTAGATCGGTCGTATTCTTGTCGAGATGTTATTTAACTGGGAAATTGCGCCTCCCATTAAGTGTACCCCATGCCTGTCTACCCCCTCTATTATAAAAAGGATGATGCAGTTTTTAAACTAGCATCATGATTTGCGGATCAAAGTTGAATCCACAAATAATAACTAACTTTTGCTATACCAACTGAACCATATGTTATAAATTTTTGTTATATATTTTATTTAAAATTAAAATGATACGATAAAATATAAATTTGTATTTCCAGGTTTCGTTGCTTCCTACAGCCAGTCTTTGACCCAATGGTATTCAAAAGCGATGTTCCAAGAAAAGAGTCAAGAAATCGTGGACTGTATCAAAGTCTGTTTTATTCAGGCGCTCCAATTTTATCTCAGGACGAACGGAACGTTTCCCGAAAGGATTATAGTTTATCGGTTAGTTTTTAACCTCAATGATTACTTATAAGACTTGAGATAACTTTATTTAACAGATCATCGTCATGTTTGCAACAGTTAGTAATTTAATGAATTAGTAACACTTTCTGTTTATTGTATATCGTTTAAAAGTAAAGCAAGTGAGATTAAAATCGTTTTGGTCCGTCGAGCCGGATGAAAGGCGGCTCATTCTGTTGTCCTAAAACTTTTTCATATGAATATAACATTCTTAAGTGCGTATCGAATCTCTACACTTACGTGTTGTATCTGTTCCTTTTTTATTTATTTTCTCGTCCTTTTCAACAGCGATGGCGTAGGTGACGGTCAGTTTTCACGAATACAAGATTACGAAGTGAGCCAGCTGAAAATATTGATTCAAGAGCTAGATAAGGTCTATCAGCCCAAGATTACGTACGTGGTCGTACAAAAACGTATAAACACGCGAATCTTCTTGAAAGGCTTTCAAGGAGACTTTGAGAATCCGCCCCCGGGGACAGTTGTAGACCATCACATCACCAAACGTGATTGGTATGTATTTTTGGAAAATAATTTTTCGTAGATATTTCCAATTGCTATTTGAAGTAATTCAGGGTGTGATAATCACAGACCAGAGAAATCGAGGGGAACTTTTAAAAATCGTAGGATTGACTAATGCGATTGTAAGTTTTCGAGATATTTTTTGACTTTAAGTTTATAATATATAAAACTTGTAAATGACTAAATTTCTAACAATTAATTTTGAACGGAGTATAGTTACTTAGAGCGTGACAAAAAGAGAGATATTGTATCCCCAATTTCGCACTTATAGTATTATTAAGTTAGCTATATTTTTTTCAAGATAAAGGAGGACAAACAAACATAGGGTAGGCCATGCACCTGGACAAGATGAGCTTTGGATATTCGGAAATCGGAATGTTTCAAAATTAAATTAGTTAGTAACATCGTTCCAACCGGGTGGGCTCGACTCTCACCGGGTCCAACGACCCGGTGGGAATCGAACCCACGATCCGTTAGACCCATTTGACTAACGAGCCTGTTAAATTTATTTCAGGTACGATTTCCTCTTAGTCTCTCAGAAGGTCAACCAAGGTACAGTGACGCCCACGCATTACATCGTGGTCTACGACGACAGCAACATGCCGCCCGACCAATGCCAGCGGCTCACCTACAAGTTGACCCACTTGTACTACAACTGGCCCGGGACAGTGCGCGTTCCAGCACCATGCCAGTACGCTCATAAGTTGGCGTATCTGGTCGGACAGAATATAGGCCATGATCCAGCTGAGTCGCTCTGTGACAAATTGTTCTTCTTATAATTGATATCGTTCAGTGCGATACTTTATAATGGTGCTATGGAGTATGGTTGTTATAGTATTATTTTCTATTGATGACGTCGATAGAAGGCAGGGCGATCAATCCACAGTATCTGCTGACTATTTTACTCCCATTTCCTCTTTGCAGAGGACTTTGGGTCATCTAATTCTCACTGTGTCCCCTTCAAACCTTCCTGTTTGCTTGCAGAATCTAATTATTTGTTCCATCTTTAGTTTTTTGATGTTATCTTCTGTTTTGTCAAATCCTATTTGTGTTTGCCTTAGAGTACACAGAGCATTCATTGAGTAGATAGATGCTTGTTTCCTTCGGGCATACATTGGGACTAATGTCCCAACACTGATATTATGTGGCCCCATTAGAGGCCGAGCAAACACAAGCAAGAAACTTTGACTTTTTGTTAATAGTCGTTTAATTAACTATCATTGTGAGTTTGTATCTGCTTAGAAGCCAATGTGCTATTATGATTTCTACCATGAGTCGAATATTCGCTCTGGTTTGTCTCATTAGGTTTTGTCGTCTTCTTATCTTGGCTGTGTATAAATATTTTCGACTGTCTCATACCAGTCGAACCACTATCTGTGGTTTTCTTCTATGACACTGCGCTCGATTAATCCCTTAGTAGTTACTATCTATTATATATATTTATGGGCTATCGGAAGTCTTGGTTAGTCCACCATGTTGTCATAAGCTAATTTGCGAGCGAGTTCGTCTGCTCTCTAATTGCCATTTGAGATAGTGATAGTCGATGGCACGGGCGAGACTCGAACTCATCGTTGTAACGTTCCGTGCATGTTTAGCGTTTAAGGTGCTGTCCAGACCAAGAAATGTGGTGATTACTGCTCATCTGTTCATTTTGTTAGTTAATACCCTATTTAAATAGTGCTATAAGATTAGATAGTAACTTGGAAATCTTTTGAGGTAGTTCATTCATGGTATTTTGATTACCAGAAGGTATTATGATCAAAATTAAATAAAATCATAACAACAAATTTATATAACTTACCTTTACTTATACTTAGTGTATTGCTTTTTGTTAAAATTACTAATATAGTATATTTTAATGTATGGCCTTTTCTATTTTTTAACTTACTATCTAAGCTAGTACTTAGATAAGTAAAAAAATAGATTGGCTAATAATTTAATAAGATTACGTAATACACATTTAACACTATTAACGTCGTCATTACATTTCGCGTTTTAAACCGTTAAAAGTGTTAATCAGTTAATTTGGTTGTTTTAGAATATTTCATTGTGTTTGATGACCTAAGGCTCATCTAATTATTATTAAGTAGACGGCTAGATTGCGAATGGTTTTGATAAATTAATATTATATATGTATGTATATAATAAGATTCCTATTGTACGGGTAACTAGAATCATATTTCTTTCTGTAATAGCGATCTGTCAAAGTAGATTAAGTTAGTCGTTTTGTTTTGTAAGATGATAAGCTCAAATAATAAGTTACGTAACGTAACGTAACGATGCTATTATTATTTACTATTTAGTTAAAAGGGCTTTAAATATCTCTATTGTACAATACTTTACCACGAAGTTACTTTGTGTGTTCCGACCTCAATATCTAGGCTTCTGTCTATGCTTTATATGAAATAAAGCTAATTATATAGTTGTCAATGTGCAAAACTTTGAATAATTTCTAAAACATAACAATTTGCCTAACGAAGTGACAAAATAAAATAATTATTTTTTTAATTCAAGAGTCAACAACAGACAACAGACTTATGAACATAATGTCAATACAGTAAAAAACAAAATAATAAATTTACCTTTACTGCCAATTCTTAAAGCATGGTTGAACGAACGAGAAGAGTTGGCAATAAACTCGCCCTTACTCCTTTTTGAAGTTTTAAAGGTGAATTCTTACTTTTGAGAATACACACCCTAAGATTCTGATCTATCGGTTCGTACAAATTATGAATTATTGATATGCATGTTTTTTTATTATACACAGTAGGAGTGTATTTTAGTTCCTCTGTTTCGTAATTTGAAGGTTTGAAGGGTAGTTTTTATTTTATTGCGATCAAAGTGCCTTTATAGATAAGCAGAGGAATTATTTTTTGATTGTCTCAAAGACTTATTTTGCGATTGTAATAACTACAAACAACAATTATATTACATAATAACAAATTCGTGGCTAGGATTAACTGGTTGTTAGTGTATTTTTTTATGATAGAGGAGGACAGACACGACATGGGTTCACTTGATGGTAGGTATACTCCAGCCTATAGAATCCAAACAAGATGCGCTGTCGACCTATTTTGGCTTTGGATATTCGGAAATCCACAGACTGAAACCGAAACGCGATTAAGCTTCACGGCTTTTTCATCTATCGTCAGTGGTTCGCGACCCGAACGGAATTCCTTTATTCCTACCACCCATTTAATAGTCAGATTTCCAGACGACGTCCAGCTCGTTTCTGAAAATTAGAAACATGACCCTGGCGGGGATCGAACCCGCGATCCGTTGATCTTTGCTACCATTAGACCAATGAGACCGTCAACAGTTAGTTAGTCACAAGAAAGTAACCTTTTTTTTGAAATGACTATAGTAGGCGAGAATCGGACGGAATCAAGAAAGTAACCATCGATGTTGATATACACAGCACTTAGTCGAGTCCAGAATCTGTCAAAAGTGTCGTAATACCTATTTGAGTCTGATTGTTTTCTTTTAACTGGAAAACCTATAAAAAAATAACTCTTGAAAACATTTTATTATTTTTTAAAAATACTCAAAATTCCAAATATTAACATTAATTTAAAAATTTTAATGTAACATAAGATTTGTACAATATTCGTAGATTGTTATCGTTCAAATCATTAGGTAGCTATTTTTGTAAATGTAAACGAACAAAACACCGCCTCTCTGTTAAGACTATGTTAAGTTTGTGGTTTTATATTTTCAATAAAGAAAATTCAAGCTAAATCTCTTTTCCATTTTTTAATTTTTTATGTTCAGGAACTTCTGATAGAGAGACTCAAACCTTCATCATGGGCAACATGACACCCCCACCTCACATCACTCCTACTCTAACTCCCACTCTCATTCTTACACTCACCCCCACTCCTATTCACAAAAACCAAAGAAGATAGTTTCATTGTTTTAACTTCAAAAACCAAGAATATCCCTACAAACTTACATCCCGTTTTTCAACCCCCTATCTACATCTTCTCAGGCTCTAAAATATATGTGTACCAAATTTCATTTCAGTACTTCCGGGAGTTAAAGCCGCAGAGACAGACAGAGTTACTTTCGCATTTATAATATTAGTATACTTAGATGTTTAAAGTTCTTCTAGTGGTAATAAATAATTTCTTACAATACAGTACATTTACGTAAGTACAATAAAAAATACCCACTTTTTACTCGTATCTATTGTTATCAATATAAAATTATAAGTTCTTGACTTAATCAAGACTATATGACCCCCTCCTGCCGCCAAAGCGTTGTCTACTGCGCGCGTGATCGATTCGGACTTGACTGCTTTTTTCAGCGTCTTAGAATCGACGTGTTTATCTTAAAGGAGAAAGACAGTTTGACGTATAAATAGAGGTTAATTTTGGTTTGAAGGAAATTCCGAAGCCTAATCTTTCTAATTGATGTAAACGACGATGGAATAGTTTTAGCAGCGATTACTTAAATTTTGGATAGCGGCAACAAAACACAAAGCTACAAAGCTGTAGCTTTAAGCTACAAAGCTGTGTGTATCGACCTTTGTAATTTAAATGTAAAACGCGTTATCATTGCTTCAAGCTCGCGATATCGTGTTTGAATCCCGAGACAATATATTTTTTCGTTCGAGTAAAAGAGTACCTAATCTATGAATAAAATCGATCAGTGAAACGGACATATATATATTCGTCCCATGCTCCATAGGGTTACTTTTTTACGATTTATTGGTAAATGAAATACTAGATGCGCTGTCGGCCTATTTTGGCTTCCGATATTCGAAAATACACAGGCTGAAGCCAAAATGAGATAGAACGCCTTTTTTATTTGTGGACGGTGGTTCGTGACCTGGACGGAATTCCAGACTAAGTCCAAGATATTTCAGAAAAATTATAAATTCATTAAAAAATGTAGGAGCCGGTAGGGATCAAATCCACGACTGGTTGATTATTAGCTGTACATTGTTACCATTCGTTTTCATTACGGACAGACATAAAGACTAGCGTTGGTGAATCCTAAAATGTTATATTTGATAACTATAATACGTTAGTTTCCAGATATATATTTTTTTACTTTAAATATGATGATGGAAACGAAATTATTAAAACCTTTTTTGATTTAAGAAATCTAGCCTTATGTAGGTGACATGTTTTAAATTTAAACATCCTTTCATTTGTTACTTCGTGAAAATAGTTTTAAAGCCTGACCCAACAGCACTGGATCCCCTAATCGGCCGACGTAGCTAATCTATGTACCGCAACCGGCGAGTTGAAATACCAACCGTGTGTGGGAGTGCTTCGTTTAACGAAAGAGCGGCAGTCCATCAAGTGGGAAAAGGACGCCGCTATACAGAGTGAAGAGGCCAGTGGACGCGCGGCCCGTGGGAACTGCACAGTAGTTGGTCAGAAAGAAGTGCGCGCGCGCCGGCCCAATACTCGTCTTGTAGTCTTCTCACACAACGGCTTATGAGATTATATTCTGAATACGTCAGGGATTTTATGTTAATGGGAATAAGTATCAGTTTTCGTGTAAGCTGCGTGGGTAGATTCGCTCTTGGCTCTGCCGGGCATTGATTTTTAGCGATCGGGTCTTGCGGATTGAATGCAAATCCGATGTTGAGAAATGCCCTAATGAAAGCGCTAAGGGAATGGTTTTATTATTGTTTGAAACAATCGATTGAATGGGCTATAATTTGTTGATGTATGGGTTCTGTAGTCTTCATATTTGTAACAGTAATAATACTACAGATAATGATGCTTAGATTTTGTCGCAGACTGATTGTTAAATCTAATGTTTG